TTATAATTAACTTCAGAACATGATAGTTTTAGTTTTACATATATTAAAATACTTGTATATTAGATTTTTGTTTGCCCACTGAAAAAAATTCTTAAATTTAAGTAATATTTTCTTGAATAGTATTAACAATAAGTAAACATTTCTTTAATGCAAATAAATATTTATTCAAAAAAAAGAAAGCAATATTTAAATTAAATAATGTATGTTTACATTTAATAAATATATTTATCTGCAATAAGGAAATGTTTATTTAGTATTACTATTCGAGAAAATATAACTTAGATTTAGGAAATTTTTTTTCAGTGTAAAAATTCTTTATTTAAACAATTCGATAAAAATGTTCATTACAGAATTTGAAAACATATGATTAAAAAGAAAGAATTAATTCTTCATTGCGATAAATGACGTTACGTACACTGAAAAAAATGCCCAATGTAAGGACGACAACGTGAGAGCGATCTCGTGACCGCGTGTGTAATCAGTCAGTCTCGCTGGCTTGCATTTCCAACAAATGGTGACTCCTTCATCCCCTAATCGCACGACCGGCTTAAGGATCGCGTGATGATGCCTTTAAACGGGGCATCCTGTAGCCAGTTAACCATACAGAACCGACAACATTTGCCTAAGCGTGTACACGCCAGCTCGGACAGGATCAACTGCGAATAATAGTTCCTTACCTCGATCACATCAGGCTTACCCACGCCAAGGATGAGAGAGTAGATACTCGAGCGATTTGTCCGTAGGATAATATCTGCAAGCCAGCGATAAATAATCTACAAGAGAGAGAAGGAAATGTTTTCGTGTTATTTATGAGTTAATTATATGATAACGATGATGTATATGCTTCAGTACCTTCCCCCACGGATCATTCAGGATGAAATTCTTACGAACGGAGATGATAAAAATACGATTAAGTCTGTTATCTTTCCAAAGCTCTTAAGTAATTTAAACGAGACAATTTTAGGAATGAGTGGAAGATAACAGAAATGGACGATGGCTAGGGGAGAATATTCGGAACGGCGGCTCGGATATATTCGGTACAAGAAGTTTATTAGGGGTTATTTACAAGGGAGCAGCTTGCACAGCAATAGGTGTACGCGTTTCTCACAACACAAGCATTAACAATGTAACGCTCTACACTAACACTAATCGCCGCGGCGATAATAATCCTTTAGGTGCTCGCAGAGAACGCGCGAAGTGTCGCTCTGAGATCCTTAACAATTCCTCAACTTTTCGCTAGGCTCAACTTAAATGTGAATCGAATGTCAAAATCATCGATTCTTTAATCTACATAACATACTTTATTCACAAAAGACACTCTGAAAGCGTCCTTAGGAAGATATCCTATGGATGTCTTTAGAATGTCCTTTAGAGATCGGTGCTATGTGGAAAAACGATTTATCGAAGTACTGTAAATCCTTTCAGTCAAAAACGTGTCGCGTTCAAGGCGCTCACTTCGCGCTCACTCCACGTCGAAGTATGGAATCGAAACATAAATAACGATAACAATAGCTCGTGATACGAAATATACAGCTTATATTACAAGAGATAGAGGCGTAGTTATCTTATATCGCAAGTATATATATGTATACCTATATACAAGTAGACTTTAGTCGTCGTACAGCTTAGTGTTGCCCTTAAAGATGTATATACGTGTATTATGTACGGCATTGTACGGCATTATGCCGCCTTGGGAACCAGGATGGTTACATATGTACAATCCGTTCGTATTCTTGCGCGTGCGATCCGCTGAAGATCACTGTGATCTTTGCGGATCGTTCGCTCGACTTCGAAAACGACACGCAACTGTGTTTCTTGTATACAAAGATACGCAGCTACAAAGTAACAATTTTGTTGAAATATAGAAACGGGAACGCTTTCGACACAACGAAAACGTTTTTCGCTCGAAAAATCGGATTATCCGATTCGGCGTATCATCGCGGTTTTTTCCTTTGACAGTGAGAGTAGTCTGGGCGATCAACCTGTAAAACATGCTGCAAGATACACGTCAAGTAGTGGAACTTAAATTTCAAGGTATCTCTTTTGCAAGTGCAAGAGATTTTTTAGTGCAACAATATTTTTTTAATTTTTATTGATTTCAAAGTGCGTCTTTAGATGTATCTTGACCATAGGCGTAACCAGAATACTTTTAGGAAGGCAGTAAAATTAAATTTCAGATTTTTTAACCGGGGGGAGGGATAATCGATGATATGGACTGTCAGATTTGTTTTATTTTATACTATATTTAATGAATTACTGATAGATAAATCATAAAATCACACATATATTTTATTAAAACTTTCAAGTACGAAGCATCTACCGTCTGAGTGTTAAGATGTTGAACTATACGAGTATAATGTATACTCATTTAAATTGAATTAATTTTCAGAAATACTAATTGCGTGCCGATAAGATTATCGGACATTCACACAATCTGAAACAAATAATCCCCCCAAAAATTTCCCAAATCTTAAAAAACTGTAATAAACTTATTGCGAAAAATATTACCTCGGCCGGGAGTGGAACCCGGATCTCTTGCATAAGACTAGTGTTTTAAATTTAAGTTTTTTTAGTTTACAATTAAAAAAAATAAAGTAAATTAATAAATAAAACAATATGATTGGAAAACGAGACCGTTTGTATTAAAACTTTAAAGTACGAAGCGCCGGTCCGAGTGTTAAGATGTTGAACTACTATATAATATATACTCATTATTTAATATAATCATATTTATACACGCGCGTCTGGACACTCGCACGGAATGCAAGAGATCCGGGTTCCTTCGACTCCCGGCCGAGGCAATATTTTTCGCAATAAGTTTATTACAGTTTTTTAAGATTTGGGAAATTTTTGGGGGGATTATTTGTTTCAAATTGATTGTGTGAATGTCCGATAATCTTATCGGCACGCAATTAGTATTTCTGAAAATTAATTCAATTTAAATGAGTGTATATTATATAGTAGTTCAACATCTTAACACTCGGACAGGTAGGCGCTTCGTACTTTAAAGTTTTAATATAAACGGTCTCTCTTTCCAATCATATTGTTTTATTTATTAATTTACTTTATTGTTTTTAATTGTAAACTGAAAAAACTTAAATTTAGAACACTAATCTTAGATTCTCAGGAAATCTTTTTAGAACTTTCTGCCTTCTTTTCTAAAATTAATTTCTTATGATTACTCATGAAACATAATCTGTTTAAGAGCTTTTAATTACTTCTGTTCTTCTTTAAGAATTAGAAGTCTTCCTTGTCCTTCCTGGCTACGCCCATAATCCCGACTACTAGGATCGCGGCGGTCCTATCGCTTCCGATCGCTGATCAAGGCAAGGATATGTATAGATCGGGCTTTTCTCTCGGTCCCAGGGTTCAGTCAAGGAGACAACGGAATCGCCGAGTCACGTGAGACGGCTAGGGTCCCCCCTGTGCTTTGCCACCACGTCAAAGGTCGAGAGTTCAGCCGAGAGAGGCAGTATTCAGACTCTCGGAGAGCGTGCGCTTTACGTTTCTTTCCTCCGATTCATCTTTGCGGCGCGGCGCGAGAAAAGGACGGAGAGCGACAACTCGCCGTGGCCAATTCGGAAACCTTTGACACTACAATTATCGACGCTATTCACGCCGGATTCTGCACGTTTCATCATTACCCCGGACTCGCGGCAACCTCTTCCGACGCCGTGTGACACATGACACGCGCGACGAAAATCGATTCTCGCTTTACGTAAACATTCCGTACCAATTTATCACGTTACGCATGCATATGCAATGTGTGAATGCTCACGTTCATCTTGTATTAATCTAACGGAATGGAGACCGGCTCCTTAATAATTCAATGACAAAAAACGTACTAATTAATTGTATACGATAAATATTGCACTTTTAATAAGAAAATTCTGTAACTGCTAAGAATTCTGGAACTCTAAAAAAAATGAAATATAAAGATTTATTTTAAGTAAAAATAAAATACTTATTATTTTAAATTAATAATTAATAATTATTATTATTATTAATAATATTGTTATAATATCACACATTATAAGATTATATTATTAATAATAATCATCATTATTAAATTGTACATCAATTTAATTCATGACAAGGTAAGCTTGGGTACTATGACCATAAGCTGTAATTTCTCAAATAATTGCTAAATAAAGCATTTTTATAGCCATTCTGAAAGCCAACGGCCATCTTTTCCGTGCCCATTTTATCCGAGTTAACCTTATTACAATTCTAGCTTCAGTTTATGATTGTGTTTTAAGACCGACAAATAATCGGCACGCAATTTGCTTGAACTGGAAAATCTATGTAAAAATTCATGCAAGAAATATTATTAGGCACCTCCGCTTTGACCGAATAACACTTAATTCTACAAACAGATTAACTTTAATCTTGATTTAACTTATTTCTGTAGAAATGGACATAAGGCTCCTTTTACACACTTATTTGTATTATTTTTCAAATAATGCGATGGAAATCGATCAGCGCGCGCAAATGTTTCGTCAGTTTTCCAGTGAAAGAAGACGAATATTGCAAGATGAATTGATTGTTATATTTCGGTCTTAGTCGAGAAAAGTTAACTTTCATCACATCAAGAGGAATAGATTCCTCCATAAAAAAACGCAACGCAATTGTACAATCCAGTTGTATGGAATTTTCTTTTCTATATGAGAAAAAGCTCGTGCAGTCTTAATAACATGTTTTGAGACATCAAACCCTTCCTGTTTTTTATTTCTGCATGAGACTGTACTAGAACT